ATCAGTAATATGTTATCGGTTTAACGTGTTGAACATGATGTATGATAGAATATTTAGTAATAGATATTTAATAATACTTTTGCAGTTATGTATAGGTGAGTCTCGTAACATGATAGCATCAAATAGCTCGTAAATTATTTGCTGTATTACGGGTCGAGGCTTTGCGAGTTGCACGAAAGGCCGGCGAAGGTATTTTATGACATATAGTTACAGTGTATTAGCAAATATGTGATCGCATCTAACGCTAAGTCAGGGAGCCACTAGGAATAATTAATAAAGAATAAGTTTACAAAGATGAAACAGATGGAAATCTGAGAGCCTTTCGGATGGAGACATACGGAGGTTGACCTGTCGCTAAATCGGGAAGTTATCCTAGGAGAGTGAAACTTCATGAACCAACCCGATTCGAAATCCACCAAATGTTAGGAGATTGGAGAAAATACAGAGGATTCTGATGCGAAATAAGGGAATTGTTGGATGCTAACGAACTTGATGCGAAATCAGAAAGCAGCAAGATGAGTTTAATTTTCGTGGACAAACCTGATTCGAAGATACTAGGTTGGAATGTTGGAAACTAGGTTGGAAGATACTAGGATGTTATTACAGACCACATAACTAGTAAAAGTTGACATGATTCGAGCGATAAAATTGTGTTGCGTGAGAACGTTTAGCTAGGTTGTACGGGCTTTGGATTGTGGGCTTGAATGTTAAAGCTTACAATAATTACATTCGAATTTATGCGGGAAACGGAAATATGTATATTGAAATCGAAAGACTGTTATAAGTTTTTCTGTCGCGGATAAAAATGACAATGTGAAGATTAAGAGTGGTGTTGAAAAAATGCCGAATAGAATTTAGGTGCTTGTAGATTCTGCAGAATTAACGATTTATTCGGAGAGAATCATTAGTCTGATCTCACTATACTACCTCTTAAAAAACGCGACGCGATGTTATGCACAGACTTTCGCGATGTTTTGTCCGGGGAAAATAATTTCTCGGCTGGTACCAAGAGAATACAAAAATTCCATGGTAAAATAGAACCTGTCTTTACCATTTACCAATTAATTCCTTCTGGGAAACTGTGCTCCCGGATATTTTCACAGTCGGCCTTAATAATAACTATCTTCCTCATATCATTTTAAGATATTGAAATATTTATATGCATATAAAGCACAAAATTGGTGTCCCCATTGGAAAAACCATACATAAAACGTATAATTGCTATTTCTACATTAGAATTACGACCGAATCTGCGATAACACTATTTCGCGGCCATCAATATATACATTCAAAGTGTTGCGAAAAGACTCACTTATGACATCAAAAAGTAATAAATAATAAAAGTTGATTTTACATTGAATAGACTGTTATTAGGATCTATGTTGACTAGATATTTTTTAACCATCCCGGTCAGTACTATGAGCTCTTTAAATATTGTATCTTTTTTTCCAACGCCCTGTATAGTAGTTTGTTTCATAATAAATTATGAGCCCTTTGTTCGAATCTACAATTTTTACCTGCTAATGTATGTAAAATTCGAGAGCCCGGTAATAACTAATATACACTCGTCTGTATCACTAGAACGGAAAGGATGAAAACTCTGTGTGAGTGCTCATTTTATAACTACATCCCTCTTTTATAAATATAGCAATAAGTTTGTTTGACGCAATCACGAACAGTATCATTTAGAGTAAGGTTGAATATGGATGCAACATCAATGAGATTTAAACAACATGTAGTGATCACGATTGCAACTGCAGAAACAGTTACACCTATGGCAATTTATCGTCGCTTATTGATAGTGTACACAACGACATCAAGATCACATTTGCGAAGATGTGTATGTCGGATTCGGAATTCATCGGAGACCACATTTTTCACAATTATCGTGAAGCATTTGTATCTTACTCGTGAGCCACACTAGATCGTATGATTTGGGAATCTAAGAATAAACTATGTAAACTACGTAAGCGAAAATCCGAGCAGTCCCTTGCCCTCACCCTCTCTCTCTCTCTCTCTCTCTCTCTCTCTCTCTCTTTCTCTTTCTCTTTCTCTTTCTCTTTCTCCCTTCCCCGCATGATCGCGTGCCAGACTCAAGGTGCATCGAATGGCAGCGGAAATGAATTGCGACGCGAGGGGAGTTTGAAGGGTAAGAACAAGGCCACGCGACCGTTGCTTTCCGAATTTTTACCACTGGAGTTCGAACCGTCGAACGAAAGCAAATTAATGCATTGTCTTTGAGTCGCAAACTTGTCTTCTCATCTAGCTACTCACATCGAAGTCCTTCATCTTCTTGCATTTGCAGAAATACTGCAATTATATCGAAGTCGTATACCTTTTCGGAATGCAAAGAAATAAACTTTTTTTCTAAGTCCTCTTTTCCTTTCCCTATTTTTCTCGATTAACAACGCGTTTCTTTTTTTGGGCTAAGTCCTAATTTCAACTTGCAACATTCATTGAAACTATTGAAATATCGCTAGTACAATATTATTGCAGAATGACAACGCTCGACCAGACATCGCACACTCAATACTTGGTAGTCCTGCGAGTTTAAAATTTGAAGTCGTTCCGCATCCACCTTATAATCCAGACCCGGTTCCTTCAGATTTCCACTCCTTTCCACAATTAAGGAGGACTTTGAAGAGTATTCATTTCAAGTTAGACAATGAAATCAAGACACCAGTGAAATCCTTTATCAAAAGTAAGCTAGCAAAATTCTTCATTGTGTAAATGAAAAAACTTGTCACATGTTGGCAAAAATCGAAGTTAACGGTGATTACATTTAAAAAATTTTGATTTCCTTTTGATAATTGCCTTTTGTTCTCGGGATACAGATGAGTGTACAACATTACTTATCAGCCAACTCTGGCATAATGCTTCTTTACTATCTCAGATATTTATTTAAAAAAAAATGTAAAAAATTTTCTAGTATGTTTGCTGCCTGTTTATCATACAATGCACGTTAAAAATAATGTTGTGATGAACTCTATCAAGATGAATTATCTTAATTTGAAAGCATCTACCATTGTATCTCGCGCGTAAACAATCATTCAAAATATATCATTTGCAAATATAAGAGTTAATGTGGTCTTATATTCGACATTGATGACTATTAGAAACCACAGGGTAGATCTTCGCCAGTTTCGGTAATATACCCAGTATATACCGCTTAATGTTAAAAAAGTTCACTAAATTTAGCTCCTCAATCCTCATACAAGAGGAAGGACGAGCAAATCATCGAGTATTCTAAATAGGGTCTGACTTTGTGGGAAAATATTGCATAATGTACGGTGTTTGTCGAGGCAAGACAGCCTGCTATAAAAGAGAAAAAAAATACTACTTTGTGACAACAGCGTCACGCAGTTTGAAATCGCTGTGGCTGCGGCAATGATAAGTCGAGAGAGTTCAAAAAACAGTTATTTCGCATTCTCGAATATCGTAATACTTTGCCCGAAACTTAATCACATTTGAGAATATTGTTTTAACAGGAAGTACTTGCGGATGTGAACTATACTTTATTGCACAAACACTGTTGTATTTCGTCAGAATTAATATAATTTATTTTCGATTTCACTAAATAAAAACTCTTGTTATTTCACCACGCTATATCCCCCTTTTTTCGGTTTGATTTATCTTAAATCAGTCCGACTCCCGATCATCGCTGTTATTTCCTCGTTGGATTTATCATCGGGAATTTTAAAGCTCCGACTCCTTCATCTTGAGTCGCGTGAATAATCGGCAGGATAAACAATCGTGGATGAACGGTCTAACAATGACTGTGTCACGTAAAATTAAGCCTTAGGTTTTAAAAACAAAAAGGTTGAGCCGTAACTCAACTTCATCTTTCTTTTCTATTGAACTTTATTAAATAACACAAGTTTATAAGCACAGTTTACGCGACTGATCTGAGAGATGTTGACTGATGAGAGTTTGTAATTTCAGTGCCGAGGTGTTCTCATATTATTACGGAGGAAAGCTCGGTGTGGGCGCGTCCCTTTGAACTAACAACGCGGATTCGTTGTTCACACTTTCCGTTAGCAAAAGTGAGGGTAACGATCCGCGATTCCAATTGGTTATAGCCGACGTTAATAAATGAAGATAGGAGGAAAAAGCCTCCTACCAACGTGGCTGACAACGTAGGTGACATTGTTTATGAGAAAAATCAGCTTTTCCAAATATTCGTTAGCCAAATATTCGGTTTTCCCATTAGGTAACTACCCGCTTTCTCCGTAATTTGTAAGAACGTGCAATAAACCTAAGGACTGTTCCAAGGACCATCCATAAACCGATAAAACTTACAGGGGCAATAAACTAAAAGTTTAAGTTTATGGTGGGTCCTTGAGGTTATTGAGGGTACGCGATGAGGACCCGCACACATCTGGCCTCTAATGTGGATTGACGTTACAACTGTTACGTCCCGTTATCTGGTACCGGCTGAAGTCTATCCCTCGGTGGGGACAGCCACTAGCGGTGCGAACATCATAGATCGGACCGCAATAATCCTAAGGCACCGCAATATCCTGAGACATAGTCATAAAAATAAATATCTTTTTTTACTTTAACGTCAAGGCCCTCAATTGCTGCAACATACAGGTCAAATCGAGACATTTGTGGCGAATGTATTGATAATTGTAGCTACTGGCTGAAGATGTCGCTGCTGGGGTACTGCCATTTTTCTTCTGTTTTTTATGTGTGGAAGAAAAATCGGACTCCGGTCGCCGGGATTTGAACCCTGGTCCCGAACGTTCGTAACCTAAGGCACTAACCACTGCGCTGCAGTACTCCGACACTAGTTAGTGTCGAGTGGTGGTATTTGATGTCAAGTGCCACCACAGTAGCTCCTTACCAGTGATAACATTTCTTCTTAGCGTGGTTAGGTTCTTAACTTAACCGATTGTTGTCAAGCCCGTGTAGATGTTGCGCGTTGTCTTCGATGTGGCAGTGGATACTTGTCAGTACAGTGCGGAGCGTTCCGCGTAGTATGACTACTTTTTAGTATGACGTGGTGGTGGTGATGCCCGTGAACTTTGCAATGACTACATCACTCCTGGCTTGGTCATCGTCTCGTATCCTGTCACCTGCTTGCGTGGGTCGGCGGTGAAGCGTCGAGTTTTGTTGAAGGAAGAGCCGATCCGTGTGCGTCGTAGCGGTAGATCTAGATTGCCACAGTCTTAGATTCGCGATGATCGAAGTCTCGGGTAGCGCTATCACGATCACAACTCTTTTCGACGTCGATCACGTCGGGATCACCAGTTTGAGGTGGATAGTGGAAAGTTGCTAGCGGAAAGCATCGTACGTGCGGAAAACAGACTTTCCGTATTTTCCGTGGTATGTGAAGGACAAAGACTATTTGTTCCTTTGGAGAATCTTAGCTAAAGAAATCGTAAGTTTTGTAGCGGGTCCTTGGGCGAGCTGAAAATATTCCGTGAGGATGTGCCGACTTCTGGCAATCATCTTGTCCGAAGGATAGGGTCTTTGTGTAGCGAACCACGGGACAGGAACCGTTGGAAAGATTAGTGTCGAGTGCACATTCCTTAGGGCTATTGTTCCAGTCAATAAAAATTGGGGACGTGGGTTTTTCTACTTTTCCCGGGATTTCCACTCGTAAATAACCGATGGTGGGGAGATCAGCGACCATCCCCGGTTCAGTATAAATACCGCCATCACAGAACAGGAGTTTTTTAGTTCTCTATTTGTTCTCTGATCAGTCACCGTACTCATGTGTATCTCGTACTCTGTCTTAACTTGTATACCGTCTGTCGATATATCAACTGTTATATTGAATGTTACATCCATTAATTTGTTGGAATAAAGTATATATTGTAACTTGTTACATCAGTGTTATAATCAGTTCAACCACCTCTATTATCCTAAACGAAATGGGGGATTGATCATTTCGTGACGTCGATGATCTAATCGTAACGGGAATTCACGACTCCCGTCGACGCGATTGTCACGTAAAGTTGATGCTTGGATTGTAGTAAGAAGGCTGAGTCGTAACCCAACTACTAATTTTCCTTTATAAAACTTTATTATAAATTTTAACACTTACAAGAATAACACTGAACCGGAGGAAAGGGGTTGTATGAGAACAGCAACTAGAACAAGAGCAAGAACTGCCCGAACTGGGTGAAGTCTCGGTTTATATACGTTTTGGTTTTAGGATGTTGAGGGGCTAGGTGTAGATTATGATGTGGAAAAGTGTCCGAAGGTCGGGGGTCGATATCCTATCTCTGATGTGAACTAAGGTGCGTCACTGCCTTGGTGTATGCTATGATGACAAGGTGGTGATGTATCCAAAGGAGTCCGAAGTCAGCGGTCGATGTCTTATCACTGATGTAGGTTGAGATGTGATTGATGTCACACGATCTATCGCGAACACGTCTCTCCGCGAACGGTTGATCACAGTGACATATTATTATTTTTATTGGTGTGCGGAATTATAACGAACTAATTAAATTGGCCGGGATAAATACGTCAGGTAAGTATGAAATATGCAATATATGTCTTTGCATATAAAATTTATGTATAAATATTTGATTGTTACTTACGAAGATGTTTCACAACATCATAAACTACAATTCCTTGTTCCAGTTGACTTAACGCTCCGAAGTTATTAATGATAACTGCAACTGAGTCTCCACTCTTCAAAGATAATGCCTCGCGTAAGCGTTTGAGCATGAATGCAACTATTTCACTGCATGGTTTCAATTTCATTTTTTCATATCCAGCCTCTCCATGAATTCCCTGACCAACTTCGATTTCATCGTCTCCGAGCTCGAACATTGGAGATTGGCCTAAAAAAGTTAATATACGCCGGCGTGGAAAATTAAAGGATCGCTAAATTTTCGATAAAAAAAATTGTCTATATTCAAGTTATTGTAATTTCATGAGAAAAATCATACTACAATTCATTTCGGCTTGTAAACCTGCTCTTCGGCATTTTGAAACACAAGACTTCCTCTTTCACAATTCTATATTTTTCAGAGATGTTTTTACCTCGTGTAATGAATACAAGTATGTGAAAGTAGATATGCTTTTTTTCTTCAACAATTTTATAAATTCAAACAATTCTATGCAATTTGCAACATGTTATTCCAGATTCGTTTTAAGATGACTTTGTAAAAAGAAAGATTTTGTAAAAAGAATCCCCTTTACAATGACTTTTAAAAAATTGACGCACCATGTTTTCACCGTTTCATGGAATTTTAAATGAAAAGTGAGCTGCGCCATCATTCAAATAATTCAAAGTACACCACGAGGTAATATGGAAGGAAGGTAATATGTGTGTGTTTAATGTGTGTGTATTGCACTAAATAGTGTGTACGATGCACGTATAATGTGTGTTTAGTGCACGTGCAGTCTGTGTACGTGAGTGTGTTTACAAGTGAGTATTACCTAGTCATTGCATTATACCTTCTTGACATTGCTTCTTCATATTAATGATTCGCTAGATTAATTCTTAAGGGATATCTGTCCACAGCCCTCAAAGTACATCTCCCAAAGTATCACAATATGTTTTCTCTGATTTTGTATTCGGCCTCCAAGAATAAAAATTAATACGTGGGAACAAGAGCATGCATGAACGACGCAAAGAAGTCATAAGACAATGGAAAGATAATATACTAAATACCTTTCAAGCACACTAAATACTAAATACACGAGATACAAATTATACCGTGATGTATCCGGAGTTATACCAATACAGTTTTAATGGCTATTTAATTGCTATTTAATTTAGAATTGCTATTTAAATTATGGATTTACGTCAAACTACGAATGTTTATACAGAATTTCAAATTCAAAGTCAAATATTCTGACTGAATCGTATTCTATTGATGATGAAATGATTGATGATGAATGATGATTGATGATGAAGATGAAAAACCTCAAAGAAACCATAGATTGCAACTCAACTGTAGCGGCACATGAGCGTAAAAAAGTTCAAGTAGGAATGGAAAATTCGAATCTGGGAGAGACCCATATTATTGTGCCTTTGAATACTAACGATTGTTTTGGTTTACAAGGTCTAGAGGCAAATGAACTCTGGACAGATTGTTATTGCCGTTTCTTGTAATCTTCAGCCGGAGTTAAATAAAAAAGTTAATTTTTTGTGGTAACGCCCGTCGATATAAATATATGAACGTGCCTAGGGCAAAGTATTATTATCTTTTATTCGATCGGCATAATATCATCGAGCGAGCAACGACTACACAGTATCTCTGTATCTGTACTTGTACTTGTACTGATTTTAATACAACTGGCTATTACGAATTTGTCCACTCGTTTCTTTATCAAACGAACCTACACGTTTAACCTTTAACGCTCCGACTTTTAATTGTGAATATCGATCTGCAACTTGCAAGTTTTTAAGTGTCAGATTTTAAATACTACGATGACATGTAAATAACAATATTAAAGTCATTCAAAACAATCTTTATTCGTCTCAGAAGTAATATAACTTTGATTACAATATTGTAGTATCGTGAACAAATGGCCTAAGAAATATCGAGTGAACCATAAACAATGTCACGAAAAAGCCTAAGTACCGACAGGTCCTTCAATGTGTCGTCGATCCTTCAGTCGAATAGTTATGCGGAAAAAAGACCTACGTGATCATGGCCACAGACGGTTGCGGAACACGTACATGCTGGGGCTATGAAAAAAGACAAAGGGATGCTTAAGGGAGAAAGAAGAATTAACAGGCAGTCGTGAGATAAGAAGTCAGAGTATAGTCAGCATTGTCGGAAAAAGTTGTCAGTGTTGTCGAAGAAGGTGGTCCGCGTGAAAGAGAGCGTTGGAACCGTGGCGACAAGAGTTGTAAATTAACTATTTAGTTGTCTTAGTTATAGCACATTACTATATTTAGTTCACGTTAAATAACCATTGTTTTCTGTTTAATCCATTCTAAGTAAATAAAAAAATCCTACAACATTTATATTAATTATGATTGACTATTGTGTGGAATTTTTTAAAACATTCATTGGGATGCAAACCGAGGTTGCGTTCACAGGTCTCACAGTTGAAAACTGTTTGTTCTTTTACCGCATTACTTCCCTTTGATAAACAAACAAAACACTTTTTCTTTCTCCCTTTCAGCAACTGATTTATTATATGGAGTTTCCCATCTAAACCTTGTTCCTTATCTGTTCCGGAAAGCCTGCCATACACATTGTTATTCCGAAAGTTACTTACGAGCTGACTTAGTAATAATTTCACAAACTTATACTGTGACAAGGCGCTTTCTCCTTTCCTTTCCTGAGAAATCTTGTAAAGTATATAAGCATTTATTATACTCGTTTCTAGTCCCCAAAAGAACCGTATTCTTCCACCATTTCAACGATTTTCACAGGAAACAATATGTTGATGCATATTGATCGGCTTTATCTACAGTGCTTGAGAGACACGCTTGGAGTAGAGCACTGCTCATCGGTGGTGCTTGAGAGGCACGTTAAGGGTTAATCCACTTCACTTTCAAGTGAATGAAATTCTTCAAAACTCTTTCAAAATACTATTGCGCCGTGAAGACGGGCACATGAAACTTATACCGAAATCTTCCAAACTAGGCAACGAACGACGATACTCATATAATTACCGCATCAATGCGACGCAACTGTCCAATCGGACCAATGGAAATAAAATTTATTAGATGCTTGACTATTAGAGAACTGCTAGATATGATAAAAAATATCGGCTGTTATGTCGTGTCCGACAGTCAGATCACGACCCTTGTACTTTGTAAGACGGGGGACAAGCGTTCTTTACCACTGATTGTGCATAACTGACTGTCGTGTCCGACGGTTGGATCACGGCCAAGGGTTGTCATAAAACGGGACAACACTGGTTTTGATGACTGCTCTTTCGCACCTCTGCTCCTCATATAGACCACGACCTTCTAGTTTCATCAGATAGAAGACAACAGCTCTTCAGGATTGATTCTTCGAATCTGTCCGTCGTGAGCGCCGATTAGGCCATGACCCTTGGTTTTCGTCAAATAAAAGACAACAGCTAATGGTCATTTCTCCCATCTGCCCGACTATTGATCTCTCAAGATGGGGGCGAAGGATAAAAGTTTGCTTCTTTTACCGAGTAGCCTATGACACTGTTGGATCTTCAAGAATTTCGGGGCCTAAACTTTAGGGTCTACATAGCAGTGTCATAAACCCATACCTTTTCAATGATCTTGAACTGTGCACATTACCCAAATCATCTCTATTCAGATTCAGATCCAGAGACTAGACAGGTCACTTCATAACATTCATTTTATAGTTCTTTAAATACTGTTTAAAAACATGGAAACTCTGTTTTGGATCATTATCCACCTGATAAACACACTCCTTCGGCATGTGCTTTATAACGAAAATCACATCATGTATTCTATAAGTCTCGTACCCTCTTGAGAAAAAAAAATTCCTTTAGCGATGTTAGATAGATGAAGCAAAATGCTGTATAAGTTACAACTGTAATGGAAACCACCCAGCAAGCTATAAAGACTGCGATGTCAG